GTCGTTCTTGTCGCTCAATTCACTTAGGAATAAACCAAGCTCAACCTGTCTTATAAAAACAATTAGCTACTTGACAGTACTTAATTTCCTTACGTTTCGTATTACATCCCCCACACTTTTAATGATGATGCTTCTTTTTAGGCGAGAATCCCAAACTCGTAGCTTCTTCTTCGGTTGTTGCTCTTGCCGATCGAGAGTTTGCGCAGCCGAGATGCATCCTTCAACAAAGAGCTCACGCATGCAGCTTAGTAGCGGAATTGTCGTACTTTACAAAAAGCTGGGAAGCAAAAGATAAAGCGAAACAAAGAGCAAACGAACATAGATAAGTAAAAATCATATGAATACGTTGGAAGAGCGAAGTGACTTTTCGAGTGAAAATGAATCATCAAGATGAGATCACGATGGGCGCATGGCATTTCTAGCGCTCGAGACATGGGAACCGGGACTCGTACGAGGTTGCCTGCGGGCCACGTCCTAGCGAGTCGCGGGCCGCATGCGGCCCGCGGGCCGCGTGTTTGAGACCCTGCTGTATGCAATATTACATTTTTTAAACTTAATATTGGTAATTCATTTGAACTAAAAATGAGTTATAATCGCAGATTTAAAGAAAAAAAAACAAAAAAAAAACGAATTGACTTAACACCATGAACATTTGAGGTTAAAGCAAGGTCGAAAGCAGAATAACATTTTATGGGTTCCATTACAATTTTCGTTAAACCGTAGCTATTCATCGACTCAATAATACTCGACAATTCTCACTGAGCCACAAAAGAACTTTATACTTTCATAATAGTACTGCCGGGGAATAAAGAAAAAAAATGTGCTAAATGTAATTGTTTCATAACAAAGGCTCTGACACGGCCAGGGTGGTGGTAACAGGCGCTAGCAATGATTCGCAAGTACAAATGACCCAAGCGCACCAAACAAAATTTAAGTTCAGTGACTACAGATATGAGGGATGCATGCATCGCTTTACTGATGGCGATTAAGCCCATAATTATCACGAGAATTAATGCAGGCTTTACGAAACAAATGAAATGATCGACTAAAAAGTACCTGCAATCGTTTATCTTTGGGCTCAATCACATTTCTACCCCGATAACAATTTTTGCACTCGAATCATTTAGAGTTGACAAAAAATATATCTTGCTTATGTTAAAGGCTACAAAAGTTTGCACAAGTACCCCGAGGTTTACAAACGTATGTCTAGTTGTGTTTAAGATTGTCAAGTGCTCGGCGCCTTTGCGACTTGATAATTTTTAAGCATAACAATATAATCCAAATTCAGGATAATACGGAATTTGCTTTCCATTCGCATATAGTTTATCGTACACAAGTTTTACATTGATATTTTCCCTCCTGAACTGTGCACCAAACTGCCACAGTTTGCTTCGGTAGTGGCAAACCAAATGTATATAGACGCATTCAGTGGAGATAACAGTCTCAGTTTGATTGCGTTATGTAACACGTCTTGTCTGCTGCGGTAGTCAAGAAAACATGCAATTGGTTGTGCTGTTTCATCTCGCTTGCTGCCGACGCGATGAGAACGTTCAATCTAGCCAGCCGCCACACCAAGCTGAATTTTAAGAAAATATTTTATTGGATGAACCATTTCTTTCCACGTTTCACCTTGTTTTTCAGGAAGGCCCCTAAATAACAAGTTATTCCGCCTGATCCTGTTGTTGAGACCGTCAATACCAGAATGCAGGGCATAACTCTTATCATGCGAATCACAAATATCACTTCGAACGTCATTCATATTAGTTTCAACCGGGGCAAGATTTTTTATTGTCATTTAATCTAACATTTGTTTCTGTAGAGTGATACCTGATCTAATAGCGTCCAATGTTACTCTAGTTACCGATCATTTTCAAACACATTCGGAACCGCCTGACATCTGAGTTACAAAAGGCTAAGCAAGACTATTATACGCAGCTCTTTAATGAAATTCTAGAAAACGCCCAGAAATAGTTTGGAAATTTATAAATGAAGTTTTACGCCGCAGTGAACAGCGTAATGATATAGGCAAACTTTCAATCAATGGCAAAATATATCGGGAACGTTGTTAGCAGAACACTTTAACACAGCTTTTGTACATTTAAATCCGCCACCACATAATGTCAATGCTTGAAACTTTATTGAACGCACAGTACACGAGACACTTTTTCTAACGCCAACTGATGAGCACGAAGTATATAACGCGTTTGCGGGTCTCAGCAACAGTAGAAGCTGCGATACAGATGACTTCCAAGTTAGGCCTGTGAAATTTGTTCTTAATAACATCGCACCTTGCTTGGTGCACATTTTTAACCTTGACTTGTCATCAGGAACATTTCCCCGTAAAATGAAATTATCTAAAGTCTCTGTTACATTTAAAGGAGAAGACAGAAATCTCCTAACGAACTACAGACCTATTTCCATACTTCCAATATTTTCCAAAGGTCTTGAAACGATTATTTTAAAACGCATAAACTCTTTTAATGAGCATTCTGTGTTAACGGAATGTCAATTTAGTTTCCGTAAAGGAAAGTCTTCAAAATTGCATTACTTCAACAAAGACAAATTATTTTGAAAAATATACGGCATTTCATTACATCAACCACAAAATTATATTAGATAAACTATACTGCTACGGTGTCCATGGCGTATCCTTATCCGTTTTGCGCTCTTATCTTAAGCAACACGCCCAATGTGTTGTCCCTCAGGGCAGTGTTCTTGAGCCTATGTTATTTAATATATATATATATATATATTAATGACATCGTGAACATCAATAAACAAATAAAATTTATAATATATGCTGACGACACAAGCCTATTTCTTGCTTAAACGAATGTTGAAATATTAATAGCCGACGCAAATAATGTCCTTAGCCAGATTTTTATATGGTCCAGCAACAATGGCCTTAAGATAAACATCCAGAAAACAAGGCTGTAGCTATTGACAACAATATTACAATTGGTTCTACACCAATTGAATTAGTAAGAAGTCATAAAACGCTCAGAATATGTTTTTCTGATCATCTTTTGTGGAATGACCATGTCGATTATCTCGTCGAGAAGCTGTCCAAAGTGGTTGAAATAATGTCGCACTCTCGCTCTGTTTTTCCATTTAATGTAAAACTACAAAATTACCATTCACTATTTCAGTCTTATATCAATTACTGTCATCTTATTTGGGGGAAGACTACTCAAATAAACATTGAAAAGCTTGCGTTACTTGAAAATAAAATGCTCCGTTACATTGCCAATGAACACTATATAACTCATACAAAGCCCCTACTTGCCCGATATAAAGTAATTACCATTGAAAAGATGTACGACCGCTTTTCAACTTCTGACCATATTTTTTTTTTATGCGAAATGCACAACCTCTCCGAACATCTTCATCGCATGAACACACGCCTCTCGGAAAGATGGATCATTCTTCGAGCTCGTATACTAATGATACTTATCAGTCCATCACTTATCATCTACCTTCATTACTTAACCATTTACTTACCAACGATATTAATATATATAACATGGACAGGAAATTATTATTGACGTACTTCTTATAGTCCTGTCGGACATTGTGTTTAAATAAATGTGAAAGCGTTTTCTTTTGTGGTATATCTATCCTTGTTAAAAAGGTTGGAATTCTGTGTAATGCGGAAAATGGCTGTGTGTACGCTTTTTTGTTGTTGTTATATTGCTTCTTGCTACCGTATTTCTCTTTTAGAAAATGTTGCATTTTGTAGAATATTATGAGCAGAAGCTGTGCGTATATTTTTATGGTTTGTGCGCTTGTGTTCGACCTTGGTATTTTTGGTAAATATTGGTCTTTTGCTTTTTGGTATTCCTGTAAATAATTTTTAGCGTGTTTTTTTGTTTTTTTGTTTTGTTTTGAAAATTAGTTTTGCTGCCAATCTCCAATCGGGCCCCAAACCCCGTCAATCTGCCTTTGGCAGCTTTTTGTATTGGGGCACTGTTGGCTATAAGGCCAAAATTTAAGATATATTCATTGATTGATAGTTTCTTTTTGTGATTTGTCACTAGTCGATGTTACGTCTCCTATAAGTTTACCCAGTTTTTCTATAGAAATATGGCAAGGGTTAAGTTCGACATCTCCGGACAGCAACGATCGTGCGCCCAGGAAAAGAAGGCAGCTATCGTGAGGTGGCGAAAGCAGGCAATTAAACACAGAGGTAGCAACGCCGGAACAAAGGGTTAGTAAACGCTTTTCTTCCATGGGCCACGACGCCTCTAATAGTAACAGGTTATTTGAACGGCAGTACTTAGTGTAATTCAAGTAACAAGCCTGAGTTACCAAGCCCGTCGACGGAAACGGAAGCGTTTTTTGATGCGCCATCTTGCGGTTGTTGGTATGATGCAGCCACGTTAACGTTGAGGCAGCAGAAGTTTACCCCTTTGTCGTTCGGTTCAAGTTGAACACGTGCTCCAGTGGCCATGACAAAGGGCAGGCCACATTTTCGCCCGATGCACGTGATGGGACCGTGAAGAGCAGCAGCACCTGAGTTACGAAGCGTCTTTGCATCGGAAGAGCTCTGTCGCGCTTGTCCCATGTCTTATTCTATTCGCCTTTGTCTTTTGCGCTGTGCTTGGACTGAGCCTACCAGTTGATATTAATTCCGGCCAACTCGTCGAAAGCGAACTCATCGAAGGTCACTTTGTGGCATGGAAGCTCGTCCAATAGGCCAACTCCAGGTAGATCGACTTGGAGAAAGGGCAACTCGTCGAAAGTTGTAACCTGTCGAAGAGCGATTTGTGAAGTTGGCCGAGAGATCTAGGCACCATTTTTATTGTTGTCGTTTTTTGGTTTCCATCTTTCGCGCCCAAAGTTTTCTCGCCCTCAAAGCTAGAGATCGGCATCATGCGGGAGTACGCGTTAACGACTCAAATAAATTAATGTGCATGTGCGCGGGGTTCCTTAAGCATTTCTCTATTTTTTTACAAAGGGGCCCAATACGATCAATTCGAAACGGTATTATTTGCTTTCAGGTCAACCAGTTCCCTTCCGCTGCCCTCCTGAAGGAGGTATGATCGCGCACGAGCACTCGAACAACAAGTTGTACTTGTGCCACAGGCCGCAACCGGAAGTGGCAAGGTGTGCACCGGGGCTTGTGTTTGATCACAAGGATGAGGTTTGCACTTCTAGCGCGGCTGCATGGCCTTCCGAAAGCGTCTATCTTTCCGGTGAGTGGGACTTTAGACAATTTCTCCTGACAAGGCGTGATGCAACCCTTCCGTGACTGCTACACCCAACGGAGTGTCTTTCAAGCAGATAGACCGGTTAGGATTCAGTCTTTTGCAGCCCATTTAAATTTAAAGGCTGGTTCCCACGTGCATCTCAGCGCTAACATAACGAAAAGACAGTGCTTCATCAGACAAGAAAATGACTGCGCTCGGTTAGTGGTGCGGTGTATGCGTGAAGAAACCTTAGGACCAACAGTTATGCTTGTCAGAAAAAAAGTGTTTTACGATTGAACATAGCAGTTGAAGTTTCCGCTTAACGAAAGCCTGTTTTCTGCGAGTGTGAACTGATGTGATCAGTTTTTTTCCGAGGAAATTTCATACAAGACATGTACATTCCCTAAATGAACAACTATAGGACATTACTGGGTCGTTACTCGCTCAAAAAGTAACTACGCATGTTTCTCATTATTGAGGCTTCAAAAGAACGTGATAGTGTATCTCAAAAGTAAAGCGTGACTTTCTGTTTACTCCAAAGCTTTGTTGAAAAAGTAGTTGCATTTCAATTTTGCGGCGTTCACGCATTGTCGTTTTTCTTGCGCATTCACGAAGTTATGAAGTTCGCACAACAGTGACGTGTTGATTGGGATAATCACTTGGGGCTAACTGCGGACGAGATGTGTCTATTGTAGCGTGAGCTACACTGGCCGAGGTTGAGCAGTTTCGCGTGGCTTTCAATGAGCCGTGCTGCGCAAGCGTGGGGAGCAGCGTTACACGGCGCACAGCCGGCGCGCCGGAGCCGCCGCCGCCGCCGCGCACGCCTCGCCGGTCGGCGCATTCCAGAGCAGTGACGTCATAGCCGCGGCAGACGCACTGGCGCCGCCGCGTGCCCAGCTGTGCGCCTCCGTTGCGCAGTAGCCAAGTCTGACGCTGCACCGGAGCCGCTTGATAGTGCCTCTCATTTTTTTGCGCATAAGCTCACGCTACGTATATCCTGGCATAGCCGAGCTAAGCCACCGCAATTTCTATGACTTAACATAAAAACACAGATATCGCAAACATTTCTATCCACTCACGGAATGATCTCACTATGCTTTAGCAGAGCAATAGAGACGTCAGCGTGGGCATCATTGCTGTCCGGCAGCGGTGCCTTCCATGCCCTCCTGGTTTTTACCTTTTTTTTTTTTTTTTGAAACTAGAAACGATTTTTTTTTGGTGAGATGGCGTTGCAGGACTCTGCAAGTTTCGTTCCTTACTTTCGGAGTGCGGGTTGTCGGAAAGGGCTTTAGGCAAACGACCGCACAAAGTTTGCTGCGATGGACAGCTTTAGCTGCTGCGTTGTGGAAAAACACGGTGAAGGAGCTTTGCCTTCAGCCAGTGTACTGTACAATGTTTACAGGGGGTTCTTTGATTTCTGTGGAATAGATATAGGAGACGTGTGTGAGGGGATGTGTGCTTTGGTGGAACGATTGTGCAAGATGTTGCATGTCTTAGAGAGGGATACAGAGATGTGCTTTTTTGGGGAGCTGAAACGCTATTTCAGAACTGTGGTGTCCGTGACTGCGCCTGCGGTGGAACAAGAGAAAGTACGTACGCGAGCTGTACTGTAGAGGCGAGAAGAGTGCACGAAAACGGAGCCTGGGCGGCGGCAATGGGGAGGCGAGGGAGCGTGTCCGCACGGCGCGGCCACGTGGGTATCTCTCAACGGTGGCTGCCGGAGAAGTGGGGGCCCGGGGAGGAAGGGAGAGAGTCGCCGGAGCAAGAACAGCGGCGGCCTACATAGGAGAAGGGAGGGGGAGCGAGAGAGAGAGCCTTGCCGTGTGTGAACAATGACAGGGAGAGGGAGGACAGTGCCTCTGCTGTAGAGCGTTGTGAGACAACAACCACAGGCTCTTCCAGGCAGCGATAAAATTAATGAGTAATTTATAACCTTCTGTGTCCTGATTTGACCCAGCTTTGTAAAGGGTCTTAAGGATTTCAGCTTTTCTTGATTGGGTCTTAGTGACGTTTGACAATTCATCTTCTCAAGCCGGACACTCGGTACAGAGACAATTGAAGACGATCTGGTGGAGGAGATGGTAGCTATAACTGAGTATGGCTACCATCTTTCCCAGTGTACTATTCGGGCCAGCGTGGGCGCATTCGTTTCAGTTTGATTTATTTTTCTAAAAATCTACGCGGCTCCGAAGCAAGAAATTACTTGGTAGTGTCATAGCATATATCCCAGTCGACCACCCTGCATAAAATTAAGTATGTTATGGGCGTGTCAATGACCCTTTCATGGATGTTGCCTCCTCCCCGTGCAAAATGACATTCTAAAGCAAACGAGAAAACATAATGAGCTTGCTTCTAGGGCGATGGCGTGAAGGCCGTTTCTGCTGTCGATAACTTTCTTCTATGCAGAAATGGCGCTCACGCGCTGTCAGAGATAGCAGGAGCACCGGGACGTAGTGGTTTTTGTTAGGTTTTTTTTTGTACGAGTAAAACGCGCAACATTGTCGCTGGACGTGGTTGCCAAAACAGGAAGAGGAAGGAAAAAAAAAAGTGATTGGAATTTATGATGCTTGTACCTGTACTGAGAAACTCAAAGCCTCTTTTAGAAGAAATTACAGCAAATGATTTATTGTATTCTTTACAAAAAAAAAATACTCCCACGCATGGTTAACGTATTGTTCGTGGGCCTCTAAAAGATACACAGTTGTCAAAGATGATGATGGTTCACGTATAAAGGAGTCATGAGACAAGAAAAATAATTATTCTACATTATTCTTGACATGAACCCCCATAGGCTGCTTATCCATACACAAGTGTAAAATGAATTTTTAAGGTTCATAATATGCACCCGGCAACCACGCAACACTGACAAAACTCTGACGTGGCTAGTGACTGACGCTTTCGACACTTAACAGGAAACAAAATATCAGAAAACAGGTGACGCTATAGGAATCAGAGCCGCGAGGCACGGCTTTGGATGCCCAGAGAAAATACCTTCATTAAGATATACCGGCTTCCGCAGCGAACACTTGGAGGTTTGGGGATGGTGACGTCACCGGAAATGTCAAATACGGCGGACATGCTCGATGGGTGGGCGAATCCGGGAGTTCCACACTCTACGAAAACTGACTTGTCCGCATAGCGCATTGGAGCTAGAGCCGGTCGCTGTGATATGCACAGGGAACTAGGCGAATGGCAAGGTTTCAAAATATGTCTAAACGTAAACAGAAATTAAAAAAAAAAAAAAAAAAAACAGTCTGCGCTTGTGGCACTCAGCATAATGTTTCACCATGTTCAATGCTTCGTGCTAAAGCGCAGACTGCTTTTTAAGGTCTGAAATATATTTTGACTCTCGCCATTCACCTGATTCCTCCATACATAGCAACGATTGGATCCTCTAAGCGCTTTGTTGTAGATGTCTCAGAGTGCTCTTTAAAACTTGATAATTATGAAAAAAAACAAAAACAACTTTGTGAATATAGTACTATGACGTGCATCTTAGGCTAGTTAGCTGCAGAGTTGTCTCAAATGTATTTATTTTTCTCTTTTATTTGCAGAATTATACAAGTCTGCCGCGAATACTGCGCGCGAAGAACTCGAAAAGGCCAGGAGGAATTTCGAGTGTCCTTCTGGCTTCGGGTACTTCTGGAGTACCGTGGACGAGTTTCACTACTTCGAGTGTGTCCGATGGGAGCCAGTTCTTAAGCGCTGTCCTGCCAACTCGGTCTTCAGTGAGACGCTTCGTATATGCTTGCTTAATGAGTATTAATAATACTTATTGTAATGATAAAGTTATCATGAAATTTAGCAAACTTCGAAAACCGTCAAATGCGCGAACTATATGTAGCAATACTTTTTTTTTTTATCGTGAAATAAATTGTAGGATGGCAAGTTGAAGATACAAGAGCCAAAATAATGTTCAGCAATCGTGAATCATACCCATGAGATTTGTTATGTGGCTTGTGTTCGTATCAAACCCCGGTGTAAGATGTGTAGACCTTTCCACCTCAGTGGTTACCTTACCGGTGGTTAGAGAATACACTAACGCACTCGCTGCGATATGGTGGCTTCAATTTGATTGGCTCCTGTTTCGGCGCGCTGGTGGCTCTGTTGGTGTCTTATCTATGTCTCGGTGTGTTATCTGCTGCACAAATATATATATATATATATATATATATATATATATATATATATATATATATATATATATATATATATATATATATATATATATATATATATATATATATATATATATATATATTTGTGCACCAAACAGGAGAGCGGCATGGTTGTTTTTGGGCACGTAAAATAAATAAACAAATACATAAAATCTAGTTTTCTTTTAATTCTGTGATACAAATGTGTCTCTCGTGAAACACAACCAACGACGGAGTGGTCCTGGGCCGCTTCACGAACTACGACGTGATATCGAGTCTCAATTGTGGACGTTTTTACGAACATATGATCGTGTTCGTCGTTCGGTCAGGTTCGGTGGCGAAACGACGGAACTGATGCGGGAGGAGGATTACTGTTCTCTACAGCTGTAACAACCTGGTTTTCATACTAATAAACCAGTAGAGAGACAAATGCATGGAAGCATAGTGAAAACGCATGTCGACAACCTGAATAACGATGTGTTGAATCACTCAGAACAGATGAATACGCAAATTTAGTGCTCACTTTTTAATTTTCGAGAGCACCAACTTTTTCTGAACGTCGCCGACTGGAAAACCTTCCTGTAATGACCCGCAGAACGTAAAAATAAATAAATAAATCAATAAATATTGGGTGTATCAAGGAGTGGCCAGGCTCTTTAAATCGACCGCAAAATTCGGTTTCTTAACCCATCCCGCTACTACTTTGTGCAGCGTTGCCCACAGATGGTAAATTTTTTTGGTGAAATTTGCAAGGAAAAAATGAAAGCCGTTTACAACTCCCTGTAACGCCGAATTGGAGCGCAGCTCGTGAGGAGGAGGAGGGAAGGATACTGAAGGGAGGGTATATTCCTCCTCCCTCGTGATCACGGCTGCTAGTCCTCCTCCCCTTCTTCTTTGGCGTGAATGTTGTTGATCACGTGTCACGTGGCCTGGGGGTCACGTGACCTTGGGTTGCATGCAACCCGCCGGAGTCGCCGGGTTGCACGAAACCCGGCGCAATCTACGTAATACGTGTTGCATGCAACTCAGGTTACGTAATTGCGTGTTGCATGCAACTCAGGTTGCATGCTACCTGGCTTACTGCTGGTCAAGTTGCATGCAGCCTGAGTTGCATGCAACGCGAGTTGCATGCAACACGCAATTACGCAGATGCAACAGGGGTGCATGCACGCTGTTGGATCTTCTCGTAACCTGTTTCATGCTACCTGTTGCATGCAACCTGTTGCATGCAACAGGTAGCATGCAACAGGTAGCATGCAACAGGTTGCATCTCCCCGGAGTGGCTGCATCTCAGGTTGCATGCAACCTGTTGCATGCAACGCGCGGTTACGCCGACGGCGACGGCGACGCCGCTCAGGCTGGAAACGGGCCCCTAAGAGCTGCGCTCTAAAAGTAAAGAAAGAAAAAGGCTTAGCTTCTAGGGAAATGCGGCGAAGCCAAAGGTCTTCAAACAATACGGCGCCGTTTCGCACGGGAGACAAGAGATGGCTCAAGCGGTCGCGACGCCAACTGCCACAAACGAACGAGCATACGGCACCGAAAGCCGGCATCTTTAGCAGACGATCGAGGAGTAACTTGTCGCGGCCGTTAAGGTGGCTAATCACTTTAGTTCGCAAGCCACGGGACACCGACTGCAACAAGCTCCGGCGCGCTGTGACGCAGGAGTGACGCAAATTTCGTCATAAACACGTGACACTCCGGCGTCAAACGAGAGTTGTCCTTCTGCCGTACATCGCGCATTTGACTTCGGTATCGACAGATTTTCAGAACAAAATTTGACAAGGAATAACTCGAACTGCGTGCACAATCCAGGATTTAAAAAAAAAAAAAAAAAAAAAAAAAACTGGGCTGACCTTTAGCATTGATTGCCTCCATTTCTTCAATATCAACATGTACCCTAGAGCGTCTAAAGAAGCAAGTAATTAGTGAATTTTCGTTCATTATTCCTCTTTAGTTACAGTCTGTCTTTAACATATGTCCGCCTGGCCGTATAACTCACACGCAGAGATTGCATTTGTGTAACTCTTACAGCCTTTTTTTTTTTTTTAGAAAAATCTGTATTTGAGGTAAAAAAAAATAAACACTCGCACTATATATCTTACACTGCGATTGCCACCTAGGATTGGCAGGCGAAGCTTCGTTCACGATTCCCTACGCTCAATGGGAGTTTAAGAAACACGGAGCGTAGCTTCTCATCTCTTGCCTCCTGATTTCTGAAAAAAAAAAAAATATATATATATATATATATATATATATATATATATATATTGAGAAAAAAAATGTATTTTTATTCTCCCCTTACACTGAAACATATCCAGTTTTAGGTACGCGAGGCGCCAGCTCTCCGAAAGGCATGTCAAAAATCACCCGCAAAGCCATCACGTTCTCGTACACTTCGGAAGATGGCGCTAGGATACTGTTCTTCGTTGAACGCGCAGGTTAAAGAAAGGCGATTTCGAGAGAACAAACACAAGGACGGACAAGACGGCACCGGTCTTTCGAAAAGTGCGTCGTCTTGTACGGCAAAGTGGGTGCAATCTCCTTTGCTCTCTTAGTATTTATCAGATTTTCAAATAAGACTGTCGCGTCGGTTGGGAATGCGTATTTAATTAGTACATGGGCTCAAAAAATTCCGGAATATAGATATAAATGCTTTAGTAACACTTGAGAGCATTTTGCTAAACATTCGTGATACAAGACGTCCAAGTTTTGCCAATATTGCGTTACCTTAAGGCCTCGTGCTCTTAGGATTTTAAAATTATGAAGCATGTATCGGATTGGTCCGTCAAAAACTTTGTTCAAACAACAACAAAAAAAATTTAACGAAGCGGTATATAACACAGTTTATCAAGTGCGGACGTTTTAAGCAACTGGGTTAAAGTATGATCTACCGTGCGCTTTTTAAGTTTGATAGTGAGTACTGGGTACCGTACTTTGTTCCACCATAAGTCAGAGCGGAACCGAAGTCTAGAAGACGTGCAGACAGACGCACAAACTAAAAGTGCAAGGTTACATTGCACGCAGTGTGATTTATTGGTTTAGTCGACGAAAGTACACAAACAGAAAGACGACAAAGGCCGCGCCATTGAGCCGTTGACGCCGCTTCACAGACCCCATGGAGTCGTAATATCGGCTCTGGCTATTTCCTGCGTTATGGTGAAACGAAGTATGGTAACAATAATATATACTTTTGTTTCACGTGTGTCTGAAAGGCTGCGGCAAAAGAAGACACAAAGTACTTTGACATATGAAATCAGCCCCCTTAGAATGTTCAGTGACAAGGCGAAAAAATAAACATGAGCCAAACATAAAAAAGAATCAACATTGTGGCAAAGGAACACTGCGGCAAAACATTTTCATCCGACGGGGTCACACGCACACATCCACAAAGAAGAAATCAGCATCAGCGTAACACAAAACAAAAAAAAACTCATTTTTGTACTAATATCGGATTAGGCCAACGAGAAGATTCAGCATAAAAATATAGTATTTTAGGGAGACATATCATAAATGCTACTTTCACACATGACACATGTAACTGGCTTCAGTCATTCTCGGCAAGAAAATATGTTGTAGCAACTTTTTTTAAACATGGCGAGGGTGCTATTCCGCTGTGTTTTTCGAACTGTTTGAGTAGTTGTAGGTCGGGAATTTGATAGTACAGCGATTCAGTACCATAGCTTTTTCCAACATTTGGTGTAATGTGATATATGCGTCTGACGGTGTTTCCTGCACGTTTATGTAGCTAGGTGTTGTTGAAGCGTAGGTCATCATACTTTGTTTCATCAAACATATTGTTTGACAATTTAAGAAAAAGTATATGCTTAATGAGTAACAACTTGTATGTTTTAAAGTGATGGTGTTGTATGTTGAATCTAACCTAATATTTTCATTACCCTGACGGTCTCTTTTTTTGTAAAGAGGAACATGTTTTGAGTATTTATTCTCGTTACTGTCTCCCAAGCTATGAGACAATATTTTAACAGGGAATCACGAGAGTGTAGCGAGAGTTTTCGCCAGTTTGGTGAGAAGAGTCCCAGGTTGTTGATTAATGCAATTGAACGCGACATAATATTACATCTAATGTTTTCCACATGATTCGTTCAACTTAAAATTTCCTGAAACCAGATTATAAGGAATTTGTGCTTCGCAGTGCATTCTATTTTGGATTTAAGAAATACGCGCATAGCTCTTGCTCGATTAATTTAATTTTCGATCCGCAATTTTTTACATATCGTTCTGTTTGTGTTTAATTAGTATTGAGGACAACCTCAGAAAATTTAAAGGCTGTATAGTAATAAGCTTATAAGAAAAAAAAAAAAAGAAAACAACATGATATCTGCAGGAAAAGGAAACAATACAAGGATGCGAGCAAATAACAAAACACGGAATATATATAGACCTGAAAAGGGCGATTTGCGCCGGGAGATTGAATACGACGTTTCACTAGCTCCTTAGTGAGTTTTAGTATTGTGTAAACGAGTAACCGCAAGCACTGTACGTTTGCGTTAGGGCTGCGCGTTCCCCACTGCGCGTGCTAAGAGCCCAAACTGTGGTCTTAGATTGGCGCATGGTAATTACGAGCATGATCAGCTCGGAGCACGCACCTGCAACGAAAACGCACAGCGCTTGCGTTTTTTTTTTTCTTTATGCAAGACTTAAACTCACATTGCACTTTTTAGATTTCAATGCTATCTG